CACTGGAAAAGCGGAGGCCTGACGGTTCCCCTGTGAACCCGGTTTCAGATGGAATTACGAAAATGGTGAAAAATTGTTAACCAGGGTTGCTCTTTTAAATAACAGACTACCACTGAAGCTACTTTTTCATTTTACATTTGTATATTCGTGACGTCACCATTTAGGGTACTTGCATGCTTTTTTTCGGACCGAAGTCCATGTTTACGCTGGTGATTATACTGTTGGTGATGCTGATTAGGGTTGGTCGTGCTGGCGATGATAATGGTGGTTGACCATGATGGATGACAATTGTAGCGGTGGTGTGATGGTGAAAGTGGTGGTGGCGGACGGCAACAGCCGGATAATTTTGCCGCACGGGCGAAAGAGATTACCCGAGATGACAACGATGATAGCCGGGAACTAGATTCAATCCGCTAACACTAGCGTTGAACACGCGGTGGCTTTGGAAACGGTGGATCTACGATGGTGGACGGGTAGTTTTAATGATAGCGGATGTGTCTTTTGGGGGGGGGGCGGTTACTGCCTCTCCATGTGGCAATAATCACAATGGCGGGCTTCCGAGACGTCGAAAACACCCAGCCTCTTCGCGGACCATGGAGCATTAGACCGCAAAATAAAAGAAAAAGGCCCTTTGGACCTAACAACCAGCATTATTCACCCTGTGACGTCACTCTTCTAAACCAGCATAGCTTTCACAATCTTACAAACTGAATTACCTTGTTTTCTTATAGTTTTCCTGGTTTCTGTTGGTTCAACTAAGAGTGGTTGGTACAAATTTTACTTAGCGGTTAATTAACTTCACTCTTTTATCATATACTAACTTCGTACTATTTACACGAACTTCTGAATTACTCTTACACACACGCGCGCACTTCTACCATAGATGTAACTCTAAGACTAGAAGGTCCCGAAATAACGTGCTCAACTTTTTGGCTCAGCTCTGGTACTCTCTTCGGTCCCGAGCTAATCGATTCACCCCTCGAAACATAGGAAAAACCAATAACCCCTCATTTTATCTGTCAAACTTTCATAGCGAATCAAAACAAACATTGCGTAGTACTAGAATTTCAACTAGAATGGGGTACGTTAATCGTTTTCTTGGGACCAATAGGCTAGTCAAGTAGTGAGCCAATTTAAAATAGTTAATTTCGTATTGATTGTTGCTTCTATGCCGTTCTAGGATAAGTTGGAAAAAGATCTTTTCGGGTAGAAGCTGAGCTATGCATATAAATTTTAAAATAATGTCGTTAATCTAGAACATTTCACTTGACATTTATGTTTTGTGTTGTGAAACACCTTGCTCTCAAAACCATATGAGCCATCTGTTGATAAGCTCAGATACTACCCTAGTAGCACGCATGTCACAAATCAATTGTAGAAACTTAAATACGACTTATTTCAGTCATAAACAAGTTGCTGTAACTTATTGTGATGAAAGTGTGCTACTCGGGTAATAGGGCTGGGATATGTTTTGCCCGCTCAAACTGGTATAACAGAATCGCATTCAAATCGGTACTCGTCAGCCCAGTGGCAGGCGCGTAGGCAACATGTTATAGCAGTGACAGCGGGGCCAGCACAGCAAAATAAAGGATTTAAGCCCGGGACATGCTGCCTACTGTCAAATGCTGCTGTTGGTATAGGCCTTTTCACTGGCCTGGTACTCGTAGAAGTGGAACAGGCTCACACACTCGCAAGCCAACAAGTGAGTGCCACTGTTACCAATCATTAAGTAAATGTGCTAGTTTAATCTGAAGGGCGTATTCGTTTTATACGGTAATAAGTTTGTGGAGGAGCCTACAAGTAATAATTTGGAACCACTGGTTACATATATCAAACCATAGCCGGCGCCGGTGGTGTAGTGGTAAGCGTGACTGCTTTCTAGACCCCAATGGGTCTGGGTTCAATCCCAGCCGAGGTCGGTGGGATTTTTCTGAGGCATAAACATCTCTGGTCACGTCTTCCTTCGCAAGGAAAGTAAAGCCGTTGGTCCCGGCCCATGTGTGTTGAATGGGTGCGATATCCTACGCAGGTGTGGAAGCTGCCTTTCTGCACATTCGATTGGCGTCAATGGATGGCAATCGATGTCCGTCGGTGATTGGCACTAGATTGCGGAACAGAGACCGACGTTAAATAAAGAAAAGGAAAAAAGGATATATCAAACCAACAGTTTTCGGTCGTTTCATTCGTACACTTGTTTCCACAGAAATCGTTTCTTTATGGAGGGGTAATAAAACCAAAATATTTCCGAGTAATCTGAAACTCACTAGTACCTCTGGAGACGCACTAAATGTTGTTGATAGTATTTATCTAGTGTATATCCAGTGGAGTGTATCGCTGGCATGGACTTCTTTATTGCCTTTGACCTCCACATAAGAAAAGGTGAGGAAACCATTTTTTAGTGGATGTCGATGAATGCACTGATAGTAACCCTTCTGATTTTGTTGAGCTTAGCTCCGAACAGATAGCGGCACTAGATAACATTAAGCAGAAGTTCAAACTAGCTATGTCCAGTCAGCTTGAGATAACCTCGCTGACCCAACATAAGATAGAACTAAAGGATGAATTTAAAGATTCACCACCGGTAAGGTAAGAGTTTCCTCTTTTTCGTATTCTCCTGCTATACACTAGGCTTTGAACGAGGAGATCGATAGATTACTTCAACTTGGAGTAATTGAAGAGTTTAATTCCGATTGGGCGCTAAATGCGGTCCCAATTAAGAAACCCAACGGAACTGTACGCTTATGCTTGGACGCAAATGACGAAAATGTTTTTCTTAAATGTAGAAATAATCCAGAGGATATTCATTTCCATGATAACCGCCAACTGCTCAAGATAAATTTAAATGAGTGAAAAATAAATTGAGGGATGCTATAAACCAGACATAATAATGTAGACCACGTTGTCAGATTATATCAGTTCGTGATGAATAAATAAATACATGAATTATTTGGTTGCTGGTCATCAAGGGGCCTCCCTTAGCTCAGTCGGTAAAGGCGCAGCTACAAAGCAAGACCATGCTGGAGGTGGCTGGGTTCAATTCCCGGTCCAGTCTAGGAATTTTTCCGGTTGGAAAATTTCTCTACTTCCCTGGGCATAGAAGTATGATTGGACTTGCCACACAATTATACCAATGCAAAAATGGTACCGGCATCGAAAGCTCTCAATTAATAACTGTGGAAGTGCATCTAGAACACTAAGTTGAGAGCACGCAATAAGCTAATATACGATATGCAATAAGCTTGAAATGCGAAGAAGAAGAAGAATGATCATCAATAGGAAGTACGAAATATTGATGAATTGATATTAATACTTCTATTAACAAATTGGTAAGCATTTGGAGTCGAGATTCAGTTTATTCAGGTTAAATGTGCAGTAAAATAAAAGCAGGCTAGAAATATAAATTTAAGCGAAGTACCATTTTTTATTGCATGTACAACACTTACATGCAATATACAACACTTATTGTTGTATAACACATGTTTAACATTTACCTTTCTGTCGACCGGTTTTGGACATGATCTATATCGGACAAACTCGCCGCAAAGACACTGTGGCTGCACACACAACGAGCTTAGACCATAACATTGACTGGAAAGGTGCAAAACTAATCAAACCCGTCAGAAAAGTTTCTCACTTAAACGCCTGGGAATCATTACACATCACCAATACTGCTGAGCCATTGGGCCGTATGAATAAAAAGTGTTTACTTTACTTTCCCGTGCTTTTCTTACGGGAAAAGTAAAGTAAACGCTTTTATTCATATGACCTATTGGTGAATGAAGATGACCCCCCATTACTTCTTACCTTTTCAACTATACTCCTATATTACCAGTGCACTATTTCATCGCTAGTAATGAAACTTTGGGAAACGGTTTCATACGGAATATACATTTCTTATTTGCAGCATAGGGGCGACCCCGGCGTAGTGGTTAGCATCCATACCACTCACGCCAAAGTCACGAGTTCAAATCTCACCCCCAGACAAGTCACGAATGACCCAATAGCGTTAAACTGACAATAATTTAAAAAAAAATGCAGCATAAATGAAAAGAAGTCACACACAAAGAATGAAATTAGGACCAACCTTTTAGATTTTTTCTTCTCCCTTGATTTGTTTTACGTCTATCTTGTTTTCCGTGCTAAGTATCAATGCTACCGACGCCAGGGAGGTAGCTTCCACATCTGGATCCTACCTATCAACCCATCAACTCATAGACCGGCACCAACGGCTTTACTTCCTTTCCGAAGGAAGGCGTGATCAGAGATGTTATGCCTCAGAAAATCCCGGCGGTGCCGACTGGGGACAACCTTTTAGATATAAATGAAAAAAATTTGCGTTAAAAAAAACCATTTTAAGTTCATCGGATTGGGGAGCCGAGAGCACGTCCAAAGTTGTTAATTGAGCCTGTACCATTGTTGCATCAGTATATGGTGTGACAAATGCAAATCTATCGGGAAATTTTTCAACCGGAAAATTCCTTAAACAGACCTGTAATCAAACCCAGTCACCTGGCTTGATGTATGTAACGCAACATTAAAGAAAAGTTTCCTCAGACAATCAGAATGAATGTATATCAACGTTGCTTTTGAAATATGCGAACATGTATTAGTTAGTATAAATTGGTATAAATTGAATATAATTCACAAAAAGGGCTGATACATACAAAAGTGGAGGCCATATAGGAGAAATGGCTCAAATGATGGCAATCTTTCAGCAACATCAATTTAATTGTATAAATTGTGATATCTAGATAAAAACCTAAAATTAATTTTTCAAATTGTATGTGTAAATTTTTAAAATTTTGCATAGGACTACTCGCATGATAGTGTAATTATTTATTTGTTTTTTTTTTTATTAATTATTATTTGGCTAATTCTAATGCAACTCGGCAGTGGCAACTGACATGTTGTCATAATATACTGTCTTATGAGGACAGTTTACAACTCTCTAATGTTACACTTCAAAACATAAAAAATAATGGTGATAGCATAATTTACAGGTGCAGCGCTACATCATAAACACAAAACGTAACTTGTATGACGTACGTATGGTCGAAAATACCTACTCCATTAACACTTGTGCAGGTAACAAGAAAAATGATACTTATATTGTACATCACATTATTCACCTTAGTCGTGACAAGTGATATCAGATATGCACAATACCATTATCTATCACATTAATATATATACCATTATCTATCACATTTCTATATATATATATATATATATATATATATATATATATATATATATATATATATATATATATTTATATTCCATTTGTTTTTGTTGCATTTAAGAGTTACACTGAAATTGTGATTTGCACCACACATAGAAATACCGGAGTATTCCGTACACCAATGAATTCCATGTGTTTCCATGACCCGGCGTCTTATACCGAATGCGTCATTGCCACACCATAAAAAAAATAATATCTCACTTTCATCTTCTTATTCGTCTCATGATGGACACTTAGGTATCATATTGTCGAGCAGTTTTAGGACGACCTTCTACCAAACGATTTAAGGAGAATTCAGCAATAAATTCAAGACTTTTTAAACTGAGCATAAATTAAACCACTATTTTTTTAAGGTTCTAGAAGAAAAACTTCAAAATAATGTTCCACGGCAAACTGCGAGTGGTAGGCAACGTCATTTTAAACTGCTCGAATTATGTGATCCATTGGCCAACTCGCCAATGACTCAGATAGTATTATGCAATTAACATGTACATAGTAACTGTCTTGAGTTGAAATCACTTTCAACGATACTTATATTTGGTGACTGGCTTAACAATTTCATAAAATTAAAAATTAAATTTGCATAGGTAGAAAAATGCAATCTTAAAACAAACAAATCAGATTTTCAAAAGGCTTAGCACCTTAGGTTTATTTCTGTTTAATGGCATCTTAATGGAATGTAGTTACATTATGCAAATTCCATCACATATTGTTTCACAGTCACATTAATGATCATTTTCCCATTTCTTTCTTCTTCTAATTCTACAACTACCAAACACAATCCACTAATCCAACGCCATCACTGCAATCACTTAAATCCACAACTTTAATGACTTTGTCTTCGCTTCTGACCACATCAAAAACTGTGCACATAAACACGTGACGTTTTAACCACATGTTCCACATAATAATCAACAACTACTAAATCAAATTTTCATCAACACAATCACCACATTTACATACACACAAACCCGACGTAGACCGCGGATTATTCGCGGCATATTATGTCTCGTGAAGCCTACAGCTCAGGTCAAACAGTTAATACAGGCACTAGAAGTCCCGGTCGCCCAAGCAGACGTTTAACAGAACTACCAACCGTCGATAGGTCGCCTTCAAGAGACTACGGAGCCCGAGGAAGTCCTTTAGGTGATACTCAATTTCTAACCAAAGTCAAACATAGCTTTATCCATGACTTAAATATTAAAACCTTTTCTCGATTGTGTAAATCTATCGTATCCTGAAGTAACTTTTTCTAAAATTTCGTTTCATTGCTACATAATTTTCAATTACTTTTACGCGTATGATCCTTTGTATTTTAGTGTTACATTGTTTGATTGAGAGATTGATATCAGCAACCAGTAAATAAAAAATGACCTGCATTCGCGATTGAGCTATTTTCAGTAACTTTTTTGCAACATTTTCTCTCTCCCAGATCGGACGACTTTTTTTGCCAGAGCGTGTTCATGCTGTTCATTTGTTGAGACATTATCTGCAGTACACATACCTATTAGTCTTCCGTTCTTGTCGCATAGTTATTATATACAGTCATACAGTATGTTTCATAGCTTGTAGATACATGTGTCCTCTCTATTTCTATCTCCCATTCTGTCAATATCGATTATATAAAGAATCACGATACAGAAAAGCACACTAATGTATCGTTTTGTGAAAGTATGGTCATTTTTTGTTTTTGCTCACATCCTGGTTTCCTACCGTACATTATCATAAGCATCTTGATATTTATCGTCTCATGTTTTATGCATTGATCCTCGAATTGTTTTGATTCCTTTGGTAAAATCAGTACCATAATGTTTCAAAACTGATTCAATCAATTTAGGACATAATATGGCAATCGCAAAATTCATTCCCTATAACATTACCCTCTGCAATTTTATCTTCATTATAATTCTTTTGCAGCCATGGGTAGTCCATACTACAGAGACATGGATGAACCCATCAGCCCGGCTGGGGGTGGCCATCACCGAAGCCGAAGTGCAACGCGCGCACCGACGCACACGATGGAATACCCTCGAGAGCAGCTCCGTAAGTAATGTTTTAAGTAATATAGGCTAGAAATCTCTGAAAATGGCTGTGTACTGTAATAAAACTGCAACATTCAATAGCCATTACTATAAGCTAGTGTTTTACTGTGGAAAAATTAAGAATTGATCAGTTGCCTCCTACTCAAATTTGCATGATACTTTGCATAATTGTTTTTTTTTTTTTTTTTTTTTTTTTTTGTCAAGTATATGCGTTTGAGCTGAAATTGGGTCATTTTAAATCCTGCAAAGTTTCAAAATATTGCGAAATCGTTATTTTTAATTAATTATAGCACGAGTACGTCACTTCCAATCGAAATGACGTCTGATACAATGTTGCAGAATAAATATAGCCTACTACGAAAAAAATAAATACTGCAAAAAAATGTCAATTAAATATCTCTATTTATTTTTTTTTTAATCGATATATTATAAACAAGCAAAAATTTGCTACATTTAGCAAACAGGTCACACTTTGACAAAACCCGAAGACCATAAACTTTTGAAAAATGTTTTAACTACTTTGTTGTGCAACATTTTTGTAATTTTTGCTCAGAAACTAGTGCTGGGAAATCACCAACTATTTAAGGTTACGAAAAACACAGTCATATTTTCACCGGGAAAGTGCAAACGCTATTAGATTACGAAAACCCTAATAAAATTTGTGAGGTTATTTTGCTTAACAATGCGTTCAGAGTATCATCCAATCCATTTGTGGAATAGTTCTATCATTTGCGTTATCGTTTGGGTATGATATATATTTATTAAGGAAGCGAAGTCATTTTTTCACCGGGAATGCACCAGTGGGAAAAATGGACTCGTATTGTATTGTTTGTGCAAGTGTCATGTACATGTGCAAGTCCCTTATTTCTTGTATATTTCTTGACCTATGAATATTGGTTAGGATAACAAAGGAAAGTTGGATAATATTAACAAAAGTTAAACCCCCTTTATAAACCCAAATTTGGTTAAACGATTTTCCCAAATTTGGCTGAAAAAATGTTAACCGTTAGTTGTCAAAACAAATAGAAAAAAAATCTGTATGATGTTGGATTTAGGTTGCATGATTGATTAAAACAGTTTTTAACAGTTATTTTCGTTTGATTTTCGTGAAAGAAGAAGATCACAATGTTCCGTCATGGTGAGAAATGTACATATTGTTGAAATTTGAATTAAAACGATTTGTTTGTAGGTCTGCTGCTGGAACCGGAGGAACCCAATCCCTAATTATTCAGACAATTTAAGGTAGTTTCCCGTTGGTAGTTATTTAAATAGAGTTCTTATAGGATTGAACATTGTGTATTTCATTTCAGACACCCGTGTGGCCATCTTCAACAGAGCCATTATTGTGAAGCACTTATTCTGGAGTCTGTTCAACAGAGCGAGCTGGATGTGCTGTCAAAGCGGCTTACTGACCATCCATCAATGAGATGTAAATATGTAAGGCCCAGTGCATTTGTCATCTCTTTCGTTCTCCCGCTGTTTAAACGGTTGAAGGAGTGTGACGTCAAACTCCGTCATCCGTTTATTCAACCGGAGAACGAAAAAGACGACAAATTTACTGGACCTCACCTGTTTACGCTCATTGATTTTCCATTTGTGAATTTGATTCCAAACATCAACAAACTATCGTTGCTTATGACTTTTGTCGTTTGGAACTAGTTATGGGAGGTAGGCGACGATTGTTCGTATTTGACAGTCACCTCCTCCCTTTGGTTCAACAGTCCGTCTTCCGAGTGTTTTCCAGCATGTTTCGGAGCGGTTGACTGCTGGTCAAGCTGCTGGTCAAGCTGCTGGTTGCACTACTTGTAAGAAGAAGGTCGATTGGATCCCAAGCAGGAGAAAATAACCTGATACCAAAATTTGGTGTTGATCAGCCTGAAATAAGAAGTAAAATACCAAAGAATAATACCAAACAAAATCATGCAAAATACTTTGTAAATAACATAATATTTGGATACCGAAGGAATATCCTTTTGGTATTGCATTTGCCTAATTTGGTATTGGAATGGTATTGTTTGATTTGTTTGTATTATTTTATGATATTTTACCCCTTATGTCAGTCTGATCCATACCAATTTAAGGTATTTGTTCTTGCTCGGGGTTGGATACCCAAATTTGAAGAAGGATGAAAGTGGCTTGCGTCGTTGGGCAGTTTGCTTGGTTCATTGTTGTGCAGCTCTTCGGATTCATGGCACAAAACCATCACATCAACCCGATTTTCCACGATGGAAGAAGAATTCTTTTATCATAAATTCTATGTCCACCAATAGTCGTCCCAGCCGTTATTTCATAAATCGAAACTACAAAATGCTCGGATATTTGATAATTCATGTCATTGTATCGATTCAGATATGTTCAAATAATAAAATAAATGTTTTCATTCACAATATTAAAATCTGCGAACATTTCAACAAGACATTTTTAATAGCACTTCATGAAGAAAAAATCAAATCTGCATTAAAATTATCAAGAAATTCAGTATCGTCAAACTACCCAGTTTTGGGTTAATGCAGTTTACCTATACTATGTGTTTGTGCACGTTACGCCCAAACTGGGTAAACTTAATCTATAGTCCAATGTATGCGCACGAGTTTTGATGGTCTGAAAGTAACAAACAATAACAAACCAATTTTTTTGGCTGAAGCGAAAGTGAGGATAACAAACTGAAAATGGGACTATGCAAGTGTACGTGTTAAAAACGGCAGTCTCAAACAGAGGAAAAAATTACATTACTCAGCGGTTCAAGTCAACAGGACAATGTTTTCATAGCTTAGCTTAGCTTAGATTGACAGCACATACAAATGGTTGCTGCTCCGTGATTGATCAGAATCAGTGAAATTGCACAATACATCAACTGAATGGTGTTGAGATTGGCCGTCTACTCTCATCATTCAACTTTCAGTAACTCAAAATTTTAAAGATCAACAACGGTGCCGGCCTCGTATTTGCAATCAGGTGGAAGAAACAAAGGAATATTAAAATGATCTTTGTTGTGTTGGGGACCGTTTTTACCTCTGTGTTCCCACAAAGGTCGCAGGAAAGAAGATTTCGTTAGTAGGTTGGGTTCGTTGGATCAAGATTCACCTTGATAAGAGATGCATTCAAAGTTTTGGTATAATGTACTGATTTCCGAAATTGACGCGACCCTATTAACTTCGTAATGTAAAGTGGCCTGGGATAAAACCCATGGTCTCCTTCTCAGTAAAACTGTTGCACAATGTAATCGAGCCCTTTGCATCACATCAAACCAGTAATCTGACAACATAATAAACGTTTACTTAGATGCACTTCAGGTTAAATCCACCCCGATGCACATCAAACAAACAAAATCAGCCCAAACTGAAAGAGCTCGCGTCATCCTTTCTTTTGCTGTTCTACACAACAGCTCCCGCAATCAAAAACGAGGTGGCAAAGAAAGCCCCGCCTGAATTCCCCGAAAACACGTCAGAGTAAATTGTAGTAAATTGAATAAAAAAAGTGACCTAGTGAGTCAATAAAAAATTAAAAAAATGGCCTCCTCTGAGACACCACACCAGATTGGAAAAAGTTCTCGTCGTTTTGAGCGAAATAATAAAAGGAAAACGTCGACAAGATTCTTTTGCAGTCCGAAGTGATGCCTCAGAGAAAACCATTTTTGAAACATTCATCCACTAACCAGGTTACTTTCACCTTAAGTGTGACCTCATCGGCCAAGTGCCAAACTTGCATATTTGTGATCGTGGCATTTACCATTTTCCCCACAAAACAAATCACGCCAAACATAAAGACAATCTCAGCTCATCAAATGCACCCAACCGTACCAACCGAGACATACACCACGCGGAGTCAAAGCATGATATTGTGCTCAGTACGAGAACATTTTTCAATTGGAACGTACTCATGAGTCATGTCCGAGAGCGAATTCTCGAAAGTCGACATGAATGATAATCATTCCGTGCACATTTTCTTCTTTTCGATTCCAACCCCACGCTATAGCCTACGGCTAAAAATCTCTACAATAAAGTTTAAAAAAACTTCTATATAGGGGAAATGGCTCTAATGTTGGCCTATGCATCTAAGATTGGGTCCATCGCTAAATATCTGCTATTAATCAATTTTATCTAAATGAACGCGTCATTGTAGCGTCCTAATGGATATTTTTGGTCGCAAATGAAAATTTAGTCGATTGCTGAATTTTTGTATGGGCCCAAATTAAGAGCATTTAGGCCGACATTGCATTTTCCCTATCTAATTCCAATTAAATGCCCCTGATATTTTAAGAATGTGTAGGTGCAATTTAAGTTTTTTTCCCGGGGCCCAAATATTTTATTCTGCTGTTTTATTAGATTCTATAACTAAATTTGGGGATAATCGGAGAAAACTGACTACTTCCTGGAACGATGAATGATGATCACCAACCGATTCTTTGTATTATTTTTTTACATCTAATTTTGGGCCTACTAAGCACAACTTGCCTTTTGCCTGTATTTTTTTTTTGCACAAAATAGAATGTTTTTACTGCAGATGTCTTTAAAATGTACTTACCTTTCCGTATGTACCGTAAGATTTGATAGAAAGTAACAAATTTTTGAGATATCGTTAAAAATCTAACACTGCTTCTTGATTCCAAACTCGGTCTACGGATTCTAAATTCGACCTAACGCATTGAAACGCCATTCAAACACCGGATTTGGTCGGAACGCTTCTTTTGTTTTTGAGAATAATGGGTGCAAACATTTATATCACGCGTTCTTATTGACTTCGTTCGGTAGTTTTTGAACTAAAGTATCGCACCAAACGCTTAACTGACTCGTTAACGCTGAAATCAGTACTCTACCCTATTGTGATCTTGTAGGCCTTAAAACTAGCACTATCTACTGAATTCTCCGAATACGGCGGGTAAAAATGTTTACGCCGACTACGAAGCCTCAGAAAAACGTGTAACGGCAAGTTTGAAATAACATAACACAGCCATTTCTTGATGAATTTCAAAAATTGTGGTACCGTAAAACGGGGT